ATAGCTCGTTATATAATTCAAGTAATGGATTACCTGGTACTCGACACATCAATCTGAGTATGTTGTAAGTAATACCATCCTCCCCAGGCGACGTGGAGTTGCCCTTAGTTAGTGCTGCATCAAGTTCATAATTAGTGAAAAGAATGTTGCAGTCATCTTCCTTGCTGAGCATAAAGCAAACAAGTCTCTCCCTTGCATCATATTTGTCATTTAATTTTGCCTGTGTGGTACTGGGAAGATTGTCATAGCTAGATGTAGCAGCCCAAGCACTGACTAACTCATTCCCCCTATGTAAGGGATGAGGGTGCGCGATCTGTTACCCTTCATTCTATTTATGTCCCTCCATGCCCGGCTAAGTGGGGTGTGAGCATTAAGACTGTTGACAAATTTTTCCCAGTCTGCCGCATTTCTGTCATACGCTCTCTGGCAGCAGCAAGGGCAGTTTGAAAGAGCCTCAGCATTCCAGGGGTACGATGTTTTCTATAGGCTAGGCCTAGTCTGCGAGCAGTACGTTTCAGTGTACGAAGTTTAGAATCATTGTAATAAGTATGGTTTTTAAAGGAGGTATGATTATTATGGCAGTTTGTTGGGTTTAGAGTACCAAGAGGTTTCAGTGGCGGCTCTAAGTAGTTCTGAATACTGCTCACAAGGTCAATGTTAAAGGTCTCAACAGAGGAACGCTCATAGGAATTATACCAGTCAGTCACATGTGCAACAAAGTCATCATGTTGATCAGTGGGAACAATAAAACGTTTCCGTTTGAATATCCCACCAGGGAGGATAGTATTACCAATATCTAGTGAGGGTAGCCTAGGGAAATGATCAGACGCTATATCTGTTACAATGGAATACTCACAGCTGGCAGAAGTAATGTTGAAGCCCAGACACAAATCAAGGATGCCTTCATAGATATGTGTGGGTTCAAGATCACCTACAATTTGCACATTATCATGACTGTTTAAGAGCGACAACAGTTGATTACCATTACGATTACCAAACTGTGAGTTTCCAATGCTTTTGTGTCTCACATTATAATCGCCAATAATAAGAGTAGGTTCAGAATGAGCACGGGAAGAGCATATGGAAAGAGAAAAACAAGGGTTAAGAGAATGGTGAGGAAATGTAAAAAGAGAGCAAATGAGAAAGTGGGTGAAATGCTGTCAACAAATTTCGTTGAGAAAAAGAAAAAGTTTTGGAGTGGAAATAATAAGTTGAGAAAGCCTATGGAATGAATGGATTTGAAAGTTAAAAATAGAAGAGGAGAGTTCTTAGATTGAGAGTTGGAGGTATCGAGAAGATGGAGGGAATATTTTGAGGAACTTTTAAATGTAAAGTAAAAGGACACAAGTGCAACTAATGTGACATTTTATTGTGGCAACGTTTCGCTCTCCAGGAGCTTTAGCAAGCTTGATAAAGCTCCTGGAGAGCGAAACGTTGCCGACAATAAAATGTCACATTAGTTGCACTTGTGTCCTTTTACTTTACATATTGTCGGTAATTCTACCAACTTTATTACGAACTTTTAAATGTTGATGAAGATAGAGAAGCTGTGATATCGGAAATTGGCCAGGGTAGTATAACATCTTTTAGGAGTGAGGAAAAGCCAGATGTGAGTGTGAGGGAGGTGCATGAGGCTGTGGGTAAACTGAAAGGGGGTAAAGCAGCTGGGATTGATGGGATCAAGACAGAAATGTTAAAAGTAGATGGGGATATAGATTTGGAATGGTTGGTGCATTTATTTAATAAATGTATGAGCGAGGGGAAGGTACCTAGGGGTTGACAGAGAGAAGGCATAGTTCTTTTATATAAAGGCAAAGGAACCATACAGTGTAAGAATTATAGGGTAATAACCTGTCAGGTATACTTGGTAAGGTATATGGTAGAATTATTATTCAAAGAATTAAGACAGCTTGAAGAATTGAGACATTTATGCAGCATATGGGAATCTTTATTGAAGAAACGTTTCGCCATACACTCACTTCATCAGTCCAGTACAACCACGAGGGTATAAGTGTCTCAATTCTTCAAGCTGTCGGTTTTCTAAACCATTTATCACATCTGTCAGACACTACAACATCATGGGATCTTTATACAAAGAATTCTTCAACGCTTGTCCAATCTTTGGACGAAGACCTACTTACACTAGTGGATGGTCCCACTGTGATCCCGCCTCCTCCTGCTTCGACTCACCTGACTGCAGTATATAAGCCACTTCTCTGACCCTCTGCTGTACTTCCTACAAGAGTGATGGCCTGAACACATCGATTCCAGGCTGAGGGACTGATTACCTCAACTCTTCCTCTCCTTATACCCTCCTGCTTTGTATTGGACTGATGAAGCCACTGTGTTGCAAAACGTTTCTTCAATATAGATTCCCATATGTTGCATAAGTGTTTGAATTCTTCAAGCTGTCGGTTTTCTAAAACATTTATCACAAAGAATTAAGATTACCACGGAGAGCATGATCGCAGATGAACAAGGCTTTAGGAGGGGAAGGGGATGTATAGACCAAGTATTTACAATGAAGCATATAAGTGAACAGTATTTAGATAAAAGTAAGAAGGTTTTCGTTGAATTTATGGATTTGGAAAAGGCATATGATAGGGTTGATAGGGGAGCAATGCAACAGATGTTGCAAGTGTATGGAATAAGTGGTAGGTTGCTGAAAGAAATTAAGAGTTTTTACGAGGATAGTAAGGCTCAGGTTAGAGTATGTAGGAGAGGGAGATTATTTCTTAGTAAAAGTAGGTTTCAGGGATACATGATATCACCATGATTGTTAGATATACTTATAGATGGAGTTGCAAGAGAAGTGAATGCTCGGGTGTGGGATTAAAAGATAAAGAATCTCAGACAAAGTGCGAGTTGTCACAGTTGCTTTTTTGCTGATGACACTGTGCTTTTGAGAGATTCTGAAGAGAAGTTGGACTAATTTGGGAGGGTATGTAAAAGAAGAAAATTAAAAATGAACATAGGTGAGTGGTGCACTGAAGAGTCTACAGAGACAACATCCATGGAAGCAGAGGGTACAGTACAGTAGTGCCAACGCTCTTATATGGGTGTGAAGCATGGGTGGTGAATGTTGCAATAAGGCTAGAGGCAGTGGAGATGTAGTGTCTGAGGGCAATTTGTGGTGTGAACATTATGTAGATAACCCTTAGCTTGGAGAATAGAGGGAGGTGCAGGGTTTCTAAAAGTATTATCCACAAGGCAGAGGAGTGGTTGTTAAGATGGTTCAGATATTTTTAGATAATGGAACAAAACAGAATGACGCTGTGTATAAAGCTGTAGTAGGTGGGGATGGGTCGTCCTAGGAAGGGTTGGAGGGAGAGGGTAAAGGATGTTTTGTTTTCGAGGGGGTTTTGACTTTCAGCAGGCGTACGTGAACATGTTAGATAGGGGTGGAGGCAAATGGTTTTTATGACTTGACGTGCTGTTGGAGTGTGAGCAAAGTAACATTTCTAAAGTGATTCAGGGAAACGGGTTACCCGGACGCGAGTCCTGGACATGTGAAGTACAGTGCCTGCGCTCTAAAGAAGGGGTGGAGATATGTTGCATATTTTGTTAACAGTAGTGTCAGCACGCCTCTGGTAAGACAGGTCACGGTGGCCCATGACCTGGTAGGCAAAGCTCTCGATTCACATGCTGTGGGTCCGTGGTTCGATTCCCAGCAAGAGTGGAAACATTGGACGTGTTTCCTTACACCTGTTGTCCCTGTTCACCCATCAGTAAAATGGGTACCTGGGTGTTAGTTAACTGGTGTGGGTCACATCCTGGGAGAAAACTGACCTAATTTGTGGGAAATGCTCTACATAACAGGCGGGTTTCTATATAGCAGTATGTCATTGATGTCATCTATGCCTGTATACCTTGTCTGTGTACTTGTAGAAATAAAGCTATGTTATTATAAGTGTTCCTTTTTGGGTCACCCTGCCTCGGTGGGTCACCCTGCCACGGTGGGTCACCCTGCCTCGGTGGGTCACCCTGCCACGGTGGGTCACCCTGCCTCGGTGGGTCACCCTGCCTCGGTGGGTCACCTGCCTCGGTGGGTCACCTGCCTCGGTGGGTCACCCTGCCACGGTGGGTCACCCTGCCTCGGTGGGTCACCCTGCCTCGGTGGGTCACCCTGCCACGGTGGGTCACCCTGCCTCGGTGGGCACTGTCTGGGTCACACTGCCTCGGTGGGTCACCTGCCTCGGTGGGTCACCTGCCTCGGTGGGTCACACTGCCTCGGTGGGTCACACTGCCTCGGGGGTCCTGCTCGTGGGTCACACTGCCTCGGTGGGTCACCTGCCTTGGTGGGTCACACTGCCTCGGTGGGTCACCTGCCTCGGTGGGTCACACTGCCTCGGTGGGTCACACTGCCTCGGTGGATCAAACTGCCTCGGTGGGTCACACTGCCTCGGTGGTCACCTGCCTCGGTGGGTCACACTGCCTCGGTGGGTCCACACTGCCTCGGTGGGTCACACTGCCTCGGTGGGTCACACTGCCTCGGTGGGTCACACTGCCTCGGTGGGTCACACTGCCTCAGTGGGTCACACTGCCTCGGTGGGTCACACTGCCTCAGTGGGTCACACTGCCTCGGTGGGAAACGGTCGATATGTTAAATTTACCTGAATATTTCTTTTACTTTTTTCTGTTAGACATGAAAGTAATATTTGGATATTCATGAAGAATTTTACCTTTTTTTTTTTTGTTTTTGTCCTACATGTCGGTGTTTATACATCATTTATAACCTTTCCAACTATTCTTGAGGTTGATTTGTTAATGGGTTATTAAACCTATTTACTACACAAGGGCCATCAAGGTGCAAGTAACCTCCTGAAGTAGGTGATTTTGGCCATTTATCCAGTTTAGCTGAAGACCTCTGATTTTTTTTTTTCGTATTCCTCTCCTGTTACAGAGCCTTTTCACTTTTGAACTAAGAAATGTAAGTCAATTTATCATGCAACTTTGTAAAATAATGTATCATACAACTGAAAATAAGAGAACTCGTGCAGGTCGTTGCATCAATGGCAGCCAGGATGGACTAAAGCAAGTTACCTTTCAAAATGACCTGGATTTTTTCTTCTTTATGAATTCGACTCGTCCTCCGCCGAACTTCAAGTTGGTAATTGAAGGTAGCGACGATTCCAGCCAACAATGGTTCAGATTTAGGTGGGTTTATATACATATACTGTATATTTATATGCACACACACACACACACACACACACACACACAGGAGGGTTAGGGGAGACATGATAACGACATACAAAATACTGCGTGGAACAGATAAGGTGGAGAGAGAGAAGTTCCAGAGAGGGGACACAGAAACAAGGGGTCACAATTTGAAGCTGAAGACTCAGATGAGTCAAAGAGATATTAGGAAGTATTTCTTCAGTCATGGAGTTGTCAGGAAGTGGAATAGTCTAGCAAGTGATGTAGTGGAGGCAGGAACCATACATAGCTTTAAGACGAGATATGATAAAGCTCATGGAGCAGGGAGAGAGAGGACCTAGTAGCGATCAGCGAAGAGGCAGGGCCAGGAGCTGAGTTTCGACCCTTGCAGCCACAATTAAGTGAGTACACACACACACACACACACACACACACACACACTTTTATGCGGTTTTAATGAACCAGGTTGTTGGTAATATTATAACATTAGCGGATGATAGTTGATAATAATGATAGGTATGGATTTAAAATTAAGAATAGCCTGGTTTGGATTATGATAATGGTATTAGCGGATAATAATGACAGGAATGGCATTAATATTAAGAATAGCCTAGTTATTATGAGAGAGGAAGCCTGAATAGGAAAATTCACACATGCATATTAACTGACATCATGGTACGCCCGTCGGTCTGTCGTGAATGTTGATATTTAATATGTTAGGTCTGTCGTCGGTATAACTATTGAGCCCTGACTCATCCAGGTACAATGGTACAAGGTACATATAGATGGCTGCAACATGGTGGTTACAACTAGTTTAATGGTTTAATGAATCAGGTTGTTGGTAATATTATGGTGATAATAATGATATTAGGGGATGATAGTTGATAAAAATGATAGGAATAACATTAAAATTAAGAACAGCTTAGTTATGATGATGATAATAATGATATTTGCGGACAATAATGATAAGAATGGCATTGAATCAGGTTGTTAGTAATATTACAGAGATAATATATTAGCGGATGACAGGTGATGTAATGATATGAATGGAATTAAAATTGGGAATAGCCTAGGTCCAGGTAGGTAGTTATGAGAAAGGAAGCCTGAATAGGAAAAATTCACATAGGCATATTAAATGACACTGCGAGTATTTCCTCAATGTTCTGGAAGGTGCTGCGGCACCGTTGACAAATGAGGGATTTTTTCCCCCTCTAATTCATTAGTTACAAGGTTGTAAATGAAGGTATGTAATGATCCAACATTGTAACTTTTTACGCCACATTACCTGTTCTCGGCGGCTAGAAGCTTAGGGCTGGCTATTAACTATTTTCCAGTATTTTCCTCATGCTATCTGTAAACTGTGAGGCCTACCCCCACATGGTGTATGTGGGGGGGCGGTATGTGGTGCCATCTCGCTTGTCTTCCAAAGACAGTTTGAGACTGGCCGGTGCCTCCACACTACCACTCTGAAAACTTAGCCTACTCCTCCTGTTGCTGTCTTTGCAACATTGCACAGCTCTTGAAAGTACTTGAGCTAATGATTTCCACCCCCCCCCCCCCACTGATCTCTGGCTGAAGGAGACTTGAACCTACAAACCTTGGAACAAGGTACGCAGTGCTATACCAAACTCACCACACTGGACCAATACCTTGGAGTCCAGCTTGCGCTAGACTTTGATCCAAGGCAGCCAGCTTTCAGGGAGAAGGGTTACAGCTTTTCATCTCATCCCCTGCATGCATCAGCCTTGCATCAGCCTTACTAGAGATTTTAACAATGCAAGGAATTCGCAAGAGCAGGCGAAATATACACAAACACTGATCTCTGGCTGAAGGAGACTCGAACCTACGAACCTTGGAACAAGGTACGCAGTGCTATACCAAACTCACCACACATAGCACTGCGTACCTTGTTCCAAGGTTCGTAGGTTCGAGTCTCCTTCAGCCAGAGATCAGTGTTTGTGTATATTTCGCCTGCTCTTGCGAATTCCTTGCAATATATATATATATATATATATATATTATATATTTATATATTATATATATATATATATATATATATATATATATATATATATATATATATATAATCACGACAGATAGAAACGTAGTACCTGAAGGTGCGAAAGGTAGTGGTATATACCACCACCTTTCGCACCTTCAGGTACTGCGTTTCTGTCTGTCGTGATTATTTTTTGTATCGGTTTCCACCTATCGCCCTGAAGGTCGCTGCCTCTCGCGGCGGCTTTGCTATTAATGTATATATACGGTTCAGAAAACCGATAAGTTCATAAATTAGACACTCGTGCAACACTTGGGTATCTTTATTGGGGAAACATTTCGCCAACCAGTGGCTTCCTCCTACCAGTACAAATAAGAATGGTTCAAAATCAGCAGTTTGAGGTAATCCAGGTTGAGGGACTCAAATTTCCTCAAAATCCTTCTGATCTTCAACTGGCTGTCTTCAAGCTGGCACTGGACAAGCACCTAAAGTCGGTAGCTGACCAGCCGGGCTGTGGCTCGTACGCTGGATTGCGTGCAGCCAGCAGTAACAGCCTGGTTGATCAGGCTCTGATCCACCATGAGGCCTGGTCACAGACCGGGCCGCGGGGGCGTTGACCCCCGGAATTCTCTCCAGGTAAACTCCAGGTTGGTTAAACGTTTCCACAATTAAGATATCCAAATTTTGCACAAGTGTTTAATTTATCTACCTGTAATTTTAGTTTACATTCAAATGTAAGCAAAGATTTCCTATTCTAAAACTCACTTTGTTTTTCGTCTGAGCAATAATTAGCTTGGGTTTGGATATGGAATCCATATCAACCTTGTATTTTGACGCAGAATCCATATCAATTGTAGAGGTCCGATATGGAATCCATGTCAATCTTTCGTTTTGCCACGGAATCCTTATAAGCGATTAGAACATATAAATTTGCCTATGTTACGCAATCCAACGAGCCTGAGGCAGTGTAAGGGTAGTCGCGCTGCCTTGTTGAAATCGAATTTTAGGGAATTCACATTTAATATGAACTCTGCATGGTTTGGTTATTTTCTGAAGAGACTGTATCTGGTGGCAGGAATAAGACTAAGAACAAGTATGAAGTCCTCACAGAGAGTGCGTCCACGATCTTTACTATGGTATGGGAAGGCTGGAAGAAGTGGACCCTGACTATTAACAAGGAGCATCTTCACCTTGTATACCGAAATCGATCTATTACCCTCAAACCATCGCTTCCTGCTCACGCAGACTTCTGCTATTTGCTGCATCTGGTCACGGAGCACCACTTTCAACACCGCTTCTGCTACCCCAGTGAGTTTTTTTTTTATTCTTAGATTAATTTTTGAGATGTTATATAGTTTTTATTAAAAAACCGGGAAATCACTAAGCCCACAGGGCCACAAAGGTCCTGTGGAAATCGTGGTAATATGGTTGTGGTGGGTAGGTCAAATCCTGGACAATACGACCAAAGAACCCAATGGAAACTAAGTGCATTTCAGTAGTTATACAACCGAGTAAGGTATCCTCCATTTTTCAACTGCCGCCCCTCATAAAAAATTATGTAATGTTAATAGGATATTTTTTAAGTTGGCTATGATTAGTTAATAGGGTTTAAAGCTTATCGACTACACTAGGATAATTAAAACAATAATACTTCAATCCCTAAAACAAGGATTAAAGTAAACTCTCAGCATCTATAGGCTGAGAAAATAAGCCTGTCGGTATATATATCCTGTGGCTTTGAGTTAAGCTGCATTTTCTCATTAATTTGTTTACATGTAAAAATTTTTTACACATTGTGTTGAGGCATATTCATACAGTATTAAGTGATTAGCAAATATCATTCATGAAATATATAAATACAAAAAAGAAAAATAAGTTTGCAAAATTTAAAAAAAAAAGACACCAAACACTTGTTTTGAGATTTAGAAAAGGATCATATGTGATAAGATAAAGTTGTAATGAAATTGGTGTAGCACCGCTTATTATTATTGTTCTAAAGTTAAGAGTGAAACCCCCCATATTATTATTATTATAATCAAAAAGAAGCGCTAAGCCACAAGGACTATACAGCAGTGAAACCCCCCACAAACAGGGTCAACATAACCACATTCCTAAACACGGCCATCTAAGGCAGTGATTCTCAACCAGGGGTAAATTTACCCCTTGTTGGTAAAAAATTACATGGCAAGGGGTAAACATTTGATGTACCTGATAACTGAATAATTTATTTTTTTCTGACCGTCTTGTTTTTGTCCCTTTATGATGGCGATAATTTTTTTGTATGTAAGGCGGTATGTGGAGTAATACATCAAGCCGAGAGAGTTAATGATGGAGGAAAAGTTGAGAATCCCTGATCTAAGGCGACAATGTACAGGGAAGGCGAACTTTTTGTACTGGCGCAAATTTAATTGCTTCTCTGAGATATCCTTCACAGCACTAGGACGCAGTTCACTCGACAAATCTTTATTTATAAATATTTGATTTTTTTTATTATTTACCAAGCAATGATATTAATTATGATCTGCAAATTGAGTATGGGAAGAGGCCAAGCAGCTTTAAAAATTTGCCTGGAGTGCCAAATAGCCTTGCTCTACGCCTCAAAAGCAATTTGGTTCTAAAATTGGAAAACAGGGTACTACGCTGCCCAAAACTCGTACCAGCCTTCCATTTACAAATGCAGCATATAAAAGTTTTGAATGAGTGATGCTGATCTAAAGAGGCATTCTCACGTTATCTCACGCAAAAAAAGCGGAAGAGGTCAACTATTGAGCTAACTACTACTTTAGGTATCCCCCCCCCAGTCTGTGGAAGCCTAATAAAGATATACCGATTGGTTTTCTTTCCTGGTTTAGTAACCCTCTAGAGTTAATAACCCGAATAAAGTCTCTTAATACAGTAACATAATACAATTTTGCTTTTGTCATAGCTGATTAAATAATATTTGACAAAAATAAAATCCACATTTCAGGTGAAGTGAACAAATGTGTTAGGAGAACTACCAGGACTTCTGAAATGACCACGGAAATGGCTGAACGGACCACGATAACGGCTGAAATGACAACGGAAACGGTTGAAATGACTACAACAGAAAAACATACACGGGAAACAACCACCACAAATTCATCACGTGAAACACCCACCAAAGTTATGACCCACACAGATGCCCCAGCCTCCGCCATAATGATGATGACAACATCACTGACAGTAGCAAGGACTGACGCTGTTGTTACCCATGCAGTTAAGCAAGGTACCTCTGAAGGAAGTGTGGCTGGTGGAAACCTATCTGTAGGTCTATTCCTCGCCTTTCTGTTGGTGTGGCTAGTGGGTGTGTAGGCCTGCCTACTCACCATTCTGCAGGTGTGAAGTGTGGCTGGTGGAGACCTCTTTGTAGGCCTACTCATCATTCTTCTACTACCGTGGTTCTGATGCTGATGTGAGGTGATGAGTAGTCCGCAGAGGCGGCGCCAATAAAATAGTAATAATAAAAACGCTATTTCGCAACGTTTCCTAGTAGTGAATCCTAATCAAATAGCAAACCCGAAACTCCCCGGTATAGAAATTATGGCGCCTCCTGACTGGTGTTCTACATAGTGTATGCTACAGTGTGACTCACGAGTTTATCCTTATTTTAATAAAAATAATAGCCCAGATCAGTTTATAAGCAGGCATATGATAATTATATATAATTAAGTAAAAAATCATTCTGAACCTAATGAAAAAATAATTTCATTATGATTGTTTATTATTAAATTATTGTAAACCTATCTAAAATATATTTAGTCGGATTAGGCTAAAGTTAACTGCGCTTGTTTTAATAAGGTTAAGTTAGTTTTGTAAGGTTCTTTTGGTACAAAACTATTCATTTTTACATTAACATAAATGAAAAAATGTATATCTTTAGACGTTCTTATTAAGAGAAAATTTTAGAAAGGACTTAATTTTAAATGAGTTCTTGCTAAATGACAAGTTTTACCTATTCGGCACGAAAAACACAGAAACACACACACACACACACACACATATATATATGTATGTCGTGCCGAATAGGCAGAACTTGCCATCTTGGCTTAAATAGCAACGCTCATCTTGCCATATAGGACATGTGAAAATTTGTGTATGCAATAATTTCGCCAAAATCATTCTGAACCTAACGAAAAAAATATATTTCACTGTGTTTGTTTAGTATTAAATTATTGTAAACAAATCTAAAATATATTTAGTTGGGTTAGGCTAAAATAAATTGTTCTTGTTATAATAAGGTTAGGTAAGTTTTCTAAGATTCTTTTGGTTCAAAATTATGAATTTTTACATTAACATTAATGAAAAAAATATATCTTTAAACGTATAAGAGAAAATTTTAGAAAAGACTTAATTTTAAATGAGTTCTTGCTAATTGACCAGTTTTACATATTCGGCACGACACACACACACACACACACACACACACACACACACACACACACACAACACACACACACACACACATATATATATATATATATATATATATTATATATATATATATATATATATATATATATATATATATATATATATATATATATATATATATATATATATATATATATATGCAATAAGATCACAGTAAACAGGTGATTTTAAATTATGCAAAACAACCACTGTAAAAGAGTAGTGAAATTCCAAGTTCCTTGACAATGTGCAGCGCTGTATAGTCCTTGTGGCTTACCGCTTCTTTTTGATTATAATAATAATCCTTGACAATGTGAGGAGTCACGAAAGCGCTTGGAATTTCACTACTCTTTCACAGTGGTTGTTTTGCATATATATATATATATATATATATATATATATATATATATATATATATATATATATATATATATATATATATATATATATATATATATATATATATATATATATATATATATATATCGCTGTTCTAATTCAGACTAAAGGTAAACCAACCAAGTTTTAAATGTGTGGAATATATGTTCAATACATTCAAGCAAACTGTGTTCAGCCATAATTGTATCATTCATTCATCCTACATTTTTAAAGGAAAGTCAATGTAATATGCTTAAAACCGAGAAATATTCTATGTTTCTGGAGTAACTTAATAATTTGGCCACCCTGTACTCACCTAATTGTGCTCACCTAATTGTGGTTGCAGGGGTCGAGACTCAGCTCCTGGCCCCGCCTCTTCACTGATCGCTACTGGATCCTCTCTCTGCTTCCTGAGCTTTGTCATACCTCTTCTTAAAACTATGTATGGTTCCTGCCTCCACTACTTCACTTGCTAGGCTATTCCACTTGCTGACAACTCTATGACTGAAGAAATACTTCCTAACGTCCCTGTGACTCGTCTGAGTCTTCAGCTTCCAGTTGTGACCCCTTGTCCCTGTGTCCCCTCTCTGGAACATCCTATCTCTGTCCACCTTGTCTATTCCCCGCAGTACCTTGTATGCCGTTATCATGTCTCCCCTGACCCTTCTGTCCTCCAGTGTCGTCAGTCCGATTTCCCTTAACCTTTCCTCGTACGACATTCCCTTGAGCTGTGGGACTAGTCTTGTTGCAAACCTTTGTACTTTCTCTAACTTCTTGACGTGCTTGACCAGGTGTGGGTTCCAGACTGGTGCTGCATACTCCAGTATGGGCCTAACATACACAGTGTACAGTGTCTTGAACGATTCCTTATTAAGGTATCGGAACGCTATTCTCAGGTTTGCCAGGCGCCCGTATGCTGCAGCGGTTATTTGGTTGATGTGTGCCTCCGGTGATGTGCTCGGTGTTATGGTCACCCCAAGGTCTTTCTCCCTGAGTGAGGTCTGTAGTCTTTGTCCACCTAGCCTATACTCTGTCTGCGGTCTTCTTTGCCCCTCCCCAATCTTCATGACTTTGCATTTGGCTGGATTGAATTCGAGAAGCCAGTTGCTGGACCACATGTCCAGCCTGTCCAGGTCTCTTTGCAGTCCTGCCTCATCCTCGTCCGATTTAATTCTTCTCATCAACTTCACTTCATCTGCGAACAGGGACACTTCAGAGTCTATTCCTTCCATCATGTCGTTCACATATATCAAAAATAGCACTGGTCCTAAAACTGACCCCTGTGGGACCCCGCTCGTAACAGGCGCCCACTGTGATACCTCTTCATGTACCATGACTCGTTGCTGCCTCCCTGTCAGGTATTCCCTTATCCATTGCAGTGCTCTCCCTTTTACGTGCGCCTGATCCTCCAGCTTCTGCACTAATCTCTTGTGGGGAACTGTGTCAAAGGCCTTCCTGCAGTCTAGGAAAACGCAATCTACCCACCCCTCTCTCTCGTGTCTTACTTCTGTTACCTTGTCATAAAACTCCAGGGGGTTTGTGATACAAGATTTGCCTTCCATGAACCCATGCTGGTTTTCATTTATAATCTTGTTCGTTTCCAGGTGTTCGACCACTCTCCTCCTGATAATCTTCTCCATGACTTTGCAAACAATACATGTCAGAGACACAGGTCTGTAGTTTAGTGCCTCGTTTCTGTTTCCTTTCTTAAATATGGGGACTACATTAGCTGTCTTCCATTTCTCAGGTAGTTGCCCAGTTTCAAGGGATGTGTTGAAGATTGTGGTTAGAGGCACACACAGCATCTCTGCTCCTTCTCTAAGGACCCATGGGGAGATGTTGTCCGGTCCCATCGCCTTTGAGGTGTCAAGGTCACTTAAGAGCTTCTTCACCTCCTCCTCAGTTGTTCGTATGTCATCCAACACTTGTTGGTATATTCCCTCTTGATGTTCCCTTCTGTGCTGTCTTCCCACAGCCCTTCCTGTCTCTACTGTAAAAACTTCCTTAAATCTCCTGTTCAGCTCCTCACATACCTCCTGATCATTTCTTGTGAGTTCTCCACCTTCTGTCCTTATTCTGATCACCTGGTCTTTGACTGTTGTCTTCCTCCTGATGTGGCTATACAACAGTTTCGGGTCAGTCTTGATTCTCGATGCTATGTCATTTTCATACTGTCGCTGGGCCTCCCTCCTTACCTGTGCGTACTCATTCCTGGCTCTGCGACTGATCTCCCTATTTTCGTGTGTTCTCTGCCTTCTGTACTTTTTTCCATTCTCTATTGCATTTTGCTTTTGCCTCCTTACACCGTCGGGTAAACCAGGGGCTCGTTCTGGTCTTCCCGTTGTTACTGTTGCCCTTGGGAATAAACCTTTCCACTGCCTCCTTGCATTTTGTTGTTACATATTCCATCATTTCATTTACTGGCTTTCCTGCCAGTTCTCTGTCCCACTGGACCTCCCGCAGGAAGTTCTTCAACCCTATGTAGTCCCCTCTTTTATAGTCAGGCTTTTCCCATTCAACTCCTGTTACTCTCTCCACTTGCAGCTCTACTATGTTTTCAAGCACAGAACCACGTGGTCGCTAGCTCCTAGGGGACTCTCATACTTGATGTCCTCAATATCTGAGCTGCCCAGGGTGAACACAAGGTCCAATCTTGCTGGTTCATCCTCCCCTCTCACTCTGGTAGTGTCCTTAACATGTTGGTGCATGAGGTTTTCCAGCACCACGTCCAACATCCTGGCTCTCCATGTTTCGGGACCCCATGTGGCTCCAGGTTTTCCCAGTCAATCTCCCTGTGGTTGAAATCCCCCATAACCAGCAACTTTGCTCTGCTGGAGTGAGCTCTTCTTGCCACCTCAGCAAGTGTGTCCACCATTGCTCTGTTGCTCTCTTCATATTCCTCTCTTGGCCTCCTGCAGTTCTGTGGTGGATTATACATCACTGCAATGACCACTTTGTGTTCCCCAGACTGAAGTGTACCTGCTATGTAGTCTCTTTCTCCCGTCTCATCTATTCCTTCCATTTTCTCGAATTTCCATCTGTTTTTTTACGAGCAGAGCAACCCCACCTCCCCCCCTACCCCTTCTATCTTTCCTCGTGATCTGGTATCCTGGTGAGAAGATTGCATCTGTTATTGTCTCCATGAGTTTTGTTTCTGTAACTGCTATGATGTCTGGGGACTTCTCGTTGATTCTTTCTTGCCATTCCTCATGTTTATTCTTTAATCCATCTGCATTTGTGTACCAAACCTTCAACTTCTGTTCTAATACTGTAACTGTGGTGTGGGGGTGGAAACAGAGGGATCGGTGTGTGATGGTTGGTTTGCATTGTTCAGTTGCCTTGAGGGTGTCGTGGCTGGAGTCCTTCTGCAGGTGTTTCTGGGGGGTGCGCTTGTCCTTCCATTTGATCCTGGATTATTCTGCTCTCCTTTTTCATTTCCTCCCATTTCTCCTTTCGTTTTTGAACTCTTTCATTGTCTTCCTTTCGTCCTGTGTTATGTCTCGATCGAGGTACACACTCTGGAACTCCTGCTTGCCTCTCAGCCGTGCTTTCTCCTGCAGGATCATGGTTCGGGTTGATTCTGCCTTGAAAATTACTTTGAGAGGCCGATTCCTTTTCTTTGTGAACCACCCAATTCTCCGAAAATTTGCCACCTGGGTCATGTCCCCCTCGCCTATCACATTCATGATATCTTCAATCGCTTTTTTCTCTTCCTGCTTTCTTTCATCATAAGTTTCCCCTTTAGCTTCGTCTAGCCCATAGACAAACACGGATCTTTCCCTTTCCACCTCCCACGGTGACTCCCATTGCATCCTCTGATGTGTTTTAGTTCCTTCCCGTGGAGTGTTCCTGTGCGTGTGTGTGTGTGTGTGTGTGTGTGTGTGTGTGTGTGTGTGTGTGTGTGTGTGTGTGTGTGTGTGTGTGTGTGTGTTTGTACGTACTCACTTAATTGTGGTTGCAGGGGTCGAGACTCAGCTCCTGGCCCCGCCTCTTCACAGAACGCTACTAGGTCCTCTCTCTCCCTGCTCCATGAGCTTTATCATACCTCGTCTTAAAGCTATGTATGGTTCCTGCTCCATGAGCTTTATCATACCTCGTCTTAAAGCTATGTATGGTTCCTGCCCCACTATATCACTTGCTAGACTATTCCACTTCCTAACAACTCTGTAGATGAAGAAATACTTCCTAACATCCCTTTGACTCATCTGAGTCTTCAGCTTCCAATTGTGACCCCTTGTTTCTGTGTCCCGTCTCTGGAACATTCTGTCTCTTTCCACCTTGTCTATTCCACGCAGTATTTTATATGTCGTTATCATGTCTTCCCTGACCCTCCTGTTCTCCAGTGTCGTCAGACCGATTTCCCTTAACCTTTCTTCATAGGACATTCCCCTTAGCTCTTGAACCAGCATTGTTGCAAACTTTGCACTTTCTCTAATTTCTTGACGTGTTTGACCAAGTATGGGTTCCAAACTGGTGCTGCGTACTCTAGTGTGGGCCTGACGTACACAGTGTATAGAGTCTTAAACGATTCTTTACTGAGGTACCGGAACGCTATTCTCAGGTTTACCAGGCGCCCTTATGCCGCAGCAGTTATCTGGTTAATGTGTGCTTCTGGCGACGTACTCGGTATTATACTCACCCCTA